ATGAATCATAATTGCAGACAAGATAGAGGAGAGCAGGAGGCAATGTTACCAATCTTCTTACTCTGGAGAGCTGAGTTTGGTGCTTTTATATGTTGTCAAAGTCTCCAGTAGCAGAATAGGCACTTTTTTGAAATAAAAGTGTTAGAGGGGTCTGAAAACTTGCTAAATATAGCAACAAATGCACCAAGTTGGCAACACTGCTCGTTGCATTGTTTGTTTTCAAATGGCTTGCTGCTGTCTGTTTGGACCTTTCTGAACATGTGCAGCAAATGTCCAATGTGGTGGACACTGAGGGGGGCTGGGACACACGTAATATTATAAGAGTTTAGTTGTATTAATTGTACATGTAAACTGATTTTTATGGCCCCCCAGGAATTTGGGGCTCAAGGCAACTGCCTAGTATTTCCTAATGGTAAATCACCTGTTGGGTGTTGAAGATAAACGGTGTTAGAAAAAGGTCTGCATAAAAACAAATATTTATGATGATTATTATAAGCAAAGAAGAAATGTTAGAGGTCCAGAATGTTTCCAACAGGAACAGCTGTAAGATTCTGCTGGATTTTTTTTTATTAAAAAAAAGTCCTGCTGTTTGTCTATCAGGAGGAACAACAAATTTCATGGATTTTTTTTACAGCGGAGCTGCTCTGCAGGCTATTACCGCTAGGTGGAGCTAAGATGCAGCACAGAAAGAGATAGTTAACGTTAGCCTTCCAGAGGAGCCAGTTTTGCTTTTTTGTATAAAGACATTTTAGTATTGAAATGTTCTGCGTAGGTTTGTGAATTCAGTCTTTGGAGTGTTTTCTTTCTGTCCCTGTGGCTTACTTCTTTTTTCCGTCTCTGGTTCTGACCCACATTAACTTATTTCTGCCCCTTGTTTTAAAACACTCCGGTGTGATTAATGTGTTCTGGTTCCCATCTCTCTGTTTCAGCTGTTTTTGAGATTTCTGCTCTTCTGAAAACAACCCAGATTTCCTGTTTGATCTTTTACCTTGTTGATGAAATGCACTAACCTGAGTCTCAGGTTCTAGTTCTGTTTCTCTAAAGCAGACAAGATGGCCGTAGCTTTTGGAACTTGAATCCAGTTCTTTTCCCTGAAACAGTGACCAGAGGAGAACAGAGGGGTCAGTTAACACTAATAAGCTTCATGCCTGAGTGGGCCGGATCAGAAGCACTCTGTTTCTCTGAATCACTGACAGTAATGAGTTCTCTGAGTTCAGTCCAATGAATTTTTGGACCCAAATGCTGTTGTTTGTGAGCAAGGACCCAGAAACCTGAGTAAAGGCTCAGAACGCTGCAGAAACTGGGCGTGTTCTGCAGGTTTCCAGCAGGGCTTAGAGGGCCATATGTATGTCGCAGCAACATCTTCAAATAAAGGAGAGATTTTTCTGGTCTTATTCTATTATGTTCTGGTTCAGGAAACAGAACTCATCTCTTTCCTGAACGATCTCTTTCATCATACCTTCATTGTTTGTAATCATTTCAATAGATGAGCCAGGAACCTTCAGACATCAGAGATTGGACTCAAAGAGGATCCAGAGTGTCTGTAGATTTTCCCTCATTGTCAAACCAACAGGCAGCACTTTTTTAACCTTACCTTAAAATACATTCACACTGGAGGGCCTCCATTTAGTTGAGATTTATATCAACCAATCAGAAGCTTTGATATGTTAAATATTATTAATTCAGTTCAATTCAGTTTATTTATATAGCGCCAATTCAAAACACATGACATCTCAAGGCACTTTACAGTTGACCAGATCATACAGTCAAACTGATTCAAAGTTTTCTATCTAAGGAAAACCAGTTGATTGCATCGACTCATTGCCTCAAATACAATCCCTCACACTAAGCATGCTTGTAGTGACAGTGGAGAGGAAAAACTCCCTTTCAACAGGAAGAAACCTCCAGCAGAACAAGGCTCAGTGTGAGCCGCCATCTGCTGAGGCCAACTGGGGTTCAAGGAGACAGAAGCAGAGATACAAAAGGCAACTTATAAATGCAGCACCATCCAGGAAACACACAGCCAGGAAGACGAGCTCTGAGCCAGCTCCCATGTCAGAGAAACAGGACTACGCTGAAAAACAGGCTGATCTCCAACATCTATAAACAAAGGTGTTGATGGCAGCAGC